CCTTCCTTCCTTCCTTCCTTCCTTCCTTCCTTCCTTCCTTCCTTCCTTCCTTCCCTTTCTTTCCTTTCTTTCCTTTCTCTCTCTCTCTCTCTTTTCTTTTTGTGAGAATTTTGTGTCCTTTCTCTATGTTGTAATGTAACAATGATTACAAAACTTGTATTACATAATAATTGTGTCCCCCATTCTATTTACCATTTATATGAAGCCACTGGATACTGTCATCAGGAGTTGTGGGACTGGGTGACACCTTTGTACTGATGACCCCCAGATTTACTTTGCCTTCCCTTCATCACTGAGTGTGCCAAACTCCTTGATTTACTCCTGCTTGGTCTGGATAATGGGCTTGATATAGAGGAGTTCAGAGATTACCTTGGAGAAAATATGTGGCAACTGTTAGTAGAACATGAGCTTAGCCTGGGAAAACAGGAAAGTTGAGAAAGAAACTAAGGATTGAGTTTACTCTTTTTGGTATAAGGGAGAGGGAAGGGAAAATACTGTCAGACTTTCAAGATTCTGTTATTATATTCTATGTCAATAAAATAGAGGTCTAATATTTCTTATGTCTATTTCCTGAACTGGCCTGCATTGAACGGCTGACACTGGTGAGGTTAAAACTGATTTTTTAAAAAAAAATTAGAAAGTTAAAACTGAATTCTGGCAAGTCAGAGGGTTTAACAGTTGGGGGAATATTCTAAAGGAAAATATGGTTTGCCTGAAAGGATAGGTCTGAAATTTCGGGGTGTTCTGACTTTGTCTGGTTCTGTCCCTGTGTTGTCAGGTCAGCACAGTGGTGTGGTTACTTTTAATGGTATGTAATTTATCAATTGTGCCTCTTTTTGGATTGGTCTAATTTGGCTTCCATTCCCCACATGTTGATTTCCTCCTCTTTAGATAATTATAATCTTACTGGGGATGCTCTTGAAGGAAACTCAAACATTACAAAAGGTCCAAAATACAGTGGCCAGGCTTCTGCTGGGTGCTTCCAGAAGGGAGCATGCAACACTTATCCTGGCTAGGCTGGACTAGCTCCCAATAGATTTCCAAACTGAGTTTAATATACTGTATCAACCCTACCTGAGGAACAATTCCCACCATCTGTTGTATCTTTGGAATGATAACATTTGGCTAAAGGACTGCTATGTGGGCTGTCCCTGAGGGAGGCTGCCAAGGCAGAGGGTGCTCTTGATGGCTCTGGAATTCTCTCCCACAAACAGTTTGATCTACATCTTCATGGGCCTTTTAACACAGACTTAAATCCTGGATTTTTTAAATTGTTGATTGGGGTTTTTTTTGTTGATCTGCTAGGAGAATAATATAAACAATTGTCAAAATAAAAAAATAAGATGCATGAGCCAGCTCTTCCTTCATATCAGGTTCTTTGTCATACCCAAAAGAAGAGACTGGAAGCATCTTCTCTTTTTAATCTCAATTATTAATTGCATAAGCCAAACTTATAAACCACAGTTTGAAATGGGATTGTTTGGATAAAACATGGCAAACATATCACAGTTTGACCTGATTTCCATATAACAAATCCTAGTTAGTTGAAAACAGAAGGAAATGTTTTTTATTTCCTCCTTTCAGCCATGCCATGATTGCAAGATTCATTCATGGAGCAGTAAATCACATATTGTATTAGATTCAGCCTGAATAAAATATTACAAGAACTTAGTAGATAAGTGCAAGGATGGTCTGTGGATAACCATTAGCTGTAATAAACTTCTGTGCTGAGACTGCCTTGAGACATGATGATATATACAAACAATGGCTAATGTCATCTTACACTACCCAGCATATTGTCTTCCCTGGGACTTTCAGCTGGTAATATGGTCCATGGATAAAAATTAAAATATTTCTTTTGTCCTTGAAGGAGATTTTCAGAATCTTAAAACTATAGGTAGCACTGTGGTAAAATTACATTGTGCCATTTGGCATTATAATACAACTATTTCCTGGAGCGTTAGGGAAGAAGGGAATTTTAAAAGGTCATCTAATCTATTTCCACTGCTCTTTTCAACCAGTTGAGAAGGCTGACAAATGTACAATCCTTTTCTACTTAATAAAGATATATTTTTGCTGGCTATTATTATTATTATTATTAATTATTATTATTATTATTGTTGTTGTTATTATTTCATCAGCAAATACTGATTACCCCTTTGAACTATCAGCAAAGAATAAAACAAATAATGCAATAATGTCGATTAATTACAGACACCCAACTGATGGCTTGCCATATTACAATATTATTACTGTTTTCCCTTCCTCAGTGTAACCCTACAGGTGCCCATAGTTTTCAGGAAAACTCACATTGTTTTTCACACACACAGGAAGGATGGACCCTTTTGCTGATCCACCCAGACATCTGATAGATCTGCTTCATTTCTGAAGGATACCTGGGGAGTTTCTCAAGGCCTTAGTAGGCAGTTCCGTCAAGGCTCTAGTTGACCTTTGGAACATGTAGTAAAAACAGACCAGTGTTTTAAGTATAAATAATAGATGAAATTCAGTTTTAGTGTCTGAAAGTTGTAAGGGTCTAGATGAATTAAAACAGGTTTAGACTCAATACCAGCAAGACAGAGGGAGTACGGATGCAGAAGCCAACATATTCCAATAGATTTCATCTTTAGTCCTAGACATAATTGAACTTCCCTATGCAGAGAAGGTTCACAGTCTGGGATCTCTCTTGGATTCACAGCTTCTGCTGGAAGAACAAGTTGAGGCTATGGCCAGGAGGGCCTTTGCACAGCTTTATTTTGGATATCTCTTGTGGCCATTTCTAGACCAGGAGGCTCTTTTGACGGTCACTCATGCTTTTATCATTTTATACTCAACCTACTGCAACTCATTCTATATGAGGCTGCCCTTGAATTCCCTTTGGAAGATACAGGTGGTCCAGAATGCAGTAGCATGAGTAGTAACAGGCATGTCACCATATAACACTACTACCTTAGGAGTTACACTGGTTTCTAGTTGGCTTCCAAGTATAATTCAAGGTGTTGGTTGTCACATTTAAATCTCAGGTCCTAGGTATCTTTGAGACCATTTTCTATGAGTGGTACCTCCCTGTCCAGTAAGATCTGTAAGGGAAGGCTTTGCATGGGTCCTCATCAGGAGGGGGGGGGGGATGAACCCCTTCCCTAAGAGCAGCATACTGCCTGAGATAGGGAGGCATCCTTGCTACTCGGCTCTTCTGGGGTTGGGTGAATAATTAAATGGCTCCTCAAGAAGTAGTGCCATGCAACTATTGAGTATTTTAACAAATATCTCTGTATGGTAATTATGATTTTATTGCTGCTTCATTGGTGATTTGGGTTTTTAATTTAATTTTAATCCTCTTAATGTAATGAGGAATGTAGGCTACTCAGAGTCACTTTTGATTTGAATGATATATATGCCTTAATAAAATAATAAAATATTAAATTATATTAAAAAATAAAGGCTCAAGAATTCAGTGTTTCTATTGGATTGTGAAGGTTCTAGGCTATTTACCACTTTTTTTGTAGAACTATTTTAACACAATTCTTCAGCACAGCAATTCCTGGAAAGTATCTAGACTAGGATCATCCATACATAAGTTGAACTCACATCATAA